TTTTTTGTTGTTGTTTTGGTGGGATTTTTGTGTACTGATGCCAGTTTAACAGGAATTAAGATAATGGTTGCCAGGGGCTGAGTGAAAGTGGCCATTCATACAATAATTATCAGATCTCATGTCAAGGAAACTGTTTAGTGTGAAAAAGAACAACACAGAGCAAGGCTATTAGAGCCTTGTGTACTCTGCTATCTATTTTGGGCCAAGATCCAAAAACATTTCATGGTTTAAAACAGTATCCAGTGATTTTAGCTGGGATAGGAGCCTGTTTCTCTTTATTGCACATGTACACAAGAAGAGATGTTCTGCCACCAAAGATTTTGCAGTGTTGCTAAAAAAAACAGACAGAATTGGAGATGGGATGAGATTGTATGGGATCGGGTGGGATTGGAAGGATGAAGGCAATGGAACTGAAATAGGGTTTATATAGAGATATTTTGCTTAACCAATTTCAGTGATTTTCAGCCTCATTTTTTTGTTAAATGTGAGACCTACACAAGAAATTGTCTTTGTAGTCCCTAGTGCCTGAACTTAACTTAAGGAAAGTATAATAAGAATATTTGAGTGAATACTGTCCAGGGAGTGCTAACTTCTGTTGAACAGTAAGTTGTACTTACTAGAAGTAATGGGAGTTATTACTACCAGGAGACAGCAGTAACAGAAGTGGACGATGGCAACCAGATCATATAGAGAATAATAGATAACCAATTTAAAAAAAAAAAAAAAAAAAGAACCTCATTATAAGAGCACATTGTATCTGGATTTTAGTAAGAACTTCAGGAAAACATTATCTATAATTTTATAAGTGTCAACTAGAGTGCTATGCTGTGATAAAGACTAAAATGTTATCATAGAGACTATAAATGAAATAGCAAAGATCTGATAGTCTTTAAAATAAAGTGGAAACAATAACATTCCAGCTAAAGTGCCATAAGAACTATTGTTTGGGTGACCTCTTACATTTTAAACCGCTAATTTTTATAAAATGATATATCTTTTACATCATGAATAATGAAACTCATGAATATTTAGTTTTGTACTATGGGTTCTCTTGTGAGGACATGGAAGCAGTGAAAGAGAATATCATAATACTGACCATTTGGCTGCTTCCTTCTGGACATTCAGAGGACCTGAAATATCATTTCTTGGGCAAAGGAAAAGATATGCTTTAGTGCCAGTGTGGTTAAAAACCAAGAAGGAAGTGGTATAAGAATGATAGATGCAGCTCTCTTGAGTAGGAGAGAGTATTACCATTCGTCATAGAAGGAGTTGCCTACGTTTTTGGTTATAGCCCTCCGGTCTGCTTACATTCTGCTGCTCAGTTATTGCTATTACTTTGGCATGGTCTGTCAGTCACTACCTACAATGTCAATCCTAAGCTTTTCTTGGTAGTAGCAGAAGTGGAAACGTTAGGATGGGCAGCCCCATGAGAGCTGCTATGTTCAAGGTAAATAAGAAATGTTTTCCTCCTCTGGTAAAAGCCAGCATCTGTTAGAAAGATTGCTGCTCCCACTGCTGCTGCCCATGGCACTGTCAAGCAGGGATGGGTGAGCTAAAGGAAACAACCTAATGCAGTCACAAATGCACAATGCTATGCATTTTCAGGTTGGTTAGGGAGATAGCAAATTGGGAAACAAGCCAAGGATGAGATACTTAATACTATTAGGATTGACATAGCATTCCAAGCATCAAACCTCTGAATATCCCAGAGACAGCAGTGTTCTACAAAGTCAGATGTAAACTGGAAACTAGTGTGCATGTGGTCCAGAAATGTATATGGAATCTAACTGTATCATCAGTTACACGTATGTGAACTCACATGCACGTCATGAGTTAATACAAAGCAGGTATTTCAGCAGGGTTCCTTACATCCATATTACATCCCACAGGTGAAGCATGTGTGCAGTGCTGCCCACCCACATCTGGATTTACACAGGCAAGCAGAGCTGTGTAGTTTTATTCAAAAACACTCAAGAATGTTCCTAGCATAAAAGCTCTTCTGCTACATTATATGTATATGCTGGCTGACAAACGCACGTTCTGGAGTGTGCTAATGGCTACTTAGGAGCAGTTGCACTTAGGCAACAGCTGGCATGTTGCCTGAACAAAGATCTTTGCGATTGCACAGACTGCCATGATTATGGACAGTAGGTTCATGAAAATGTTATTTTGATATTGGGCTCTTCAGAGGAAACTTCCACAATCAGCTGATCTGATTATGGACCTTCTGCCATTTTGGATATTTCTGTTTTATCATCTGACAAAAGGGAAAAAACCTACACTAGCAACGCTACTTTTCTGCTAACCCTTTCCAAGTCTAACATCAATGGGATTTGCTACAGTTTTTCATAAAGACATGAAGAGAGAAGAGTTTCTCACTTAGACATACTGGGAAATGGTTTTCTCTTATCACAGAGCGAAAAGGTGCAGCCTAAGGAATAGATGTGTAAAGGTCTGGGAAAAGTCTTCTGCAACTGGACATTAAAGCAATTTCTCATGAGAAAAAAAAATCACAACAAAACAAAAAACAACAAAACCTAGTTCTGTAATGTCTTTTTTTTTTTTTTTTTCCCTCATAGGACTTCATTGCTGAAGTTCTCTGTTTCAGTATTATGCACATAATCACATGGAGAAGCAGCATGAAATCAGTATTTATGAAAGTGGCTCTAGTGATCTTTCAGATACCCCTCCCCACATAATATTAAATATTCAAAGGATGCCAGAAGATGACCATATTCTACCCACCAGAGTCTCAGTTAGATAAGAAACTGCTGATTGTGAAAAGAGGGATGTTTTCATTCCCCAAGGCAATGATAATGCCACTTAAAATACCACTTTATTTCTGAGCTTTGAGCTAGCTGCTGTCCTCTGTAACTTCAGATGTGTTTTAGGATTACTAGTGTTGAATTTGGAAAGAACTTGAGGGTTTTAATACAAATATTAATGTCAAAAGAGAATTACAGATATGCATATTACAGGGTGCTTTCACAAGATTCTGATACTGGAAGCTAAACAGAAATTAAAGTACTTCCAAAAGGAATTTGAATAGGGAATAGGGATTTTCTAGCCCTATCACAAGTCTGTGCAATCTGTTTGATGTGTGTTTTTGAGGAGGACAGAGAGACCTATGTCTAAGTTTTGAAATAATAGAGACCCAAGTAGGCCACTGTTGACCTTCCACATTCACTTTCTTAACTGGTGTTGGATCTCAGTGAATTTTATCCATGGGTGAGCCCTGTCTCCCACCATTAAACCACGTCAAAATTCTGATTCATAAAAATACTACTTATCTACAGTGGGATTTACTACCAGGACTGTAAAATCAAGGCAGGTGGAAAATTATATCAGCTCAAAACAGTTTTTACAGGTATCTGTCATTGGCTTAGCTGAACACTTATGGTTCCTACTAAATTAAAGGCATTAGGGTTAATGCCTATCATTCCTGATGGGACTGAGATTAGGCTCTGAGGCTGACAGGAAAGGAGGCTATGGAGGTTTATCTCTTTGTTACTGGTGCTGTTTCATTACACATGGTCTTGTCCCCCTACATTGACATTTCTCCTGTACATTACTGCCATTGCTCTGGCACTCCTTTAGTTTCACCAGCAACAGGGTAGCAGTATAGATCTTAGTAGCTGACAATGTTTTAAACACAACAGTGTTTGATCAAAGCAGATATAGACTTTATAAATCTGCCATTATTGCTTACTCATTTTTTGCCTATACAGGGTGTTCTTTCTGCTTGTATGATAGATTCTGATGATGAGTGGCATATGTATTATGCATGTTTGTATGTTTATTTATTTAGGAATATAGAAAGCTTATTTGATTTGATACCTTATTTCCAAAGTAACCATAGCTTTGAAGTAGCCAGCATCTCTGTTGTGTTAGAAGTATCCTAAAAGACTGAAACTACCCAGGGGTATCTGTAGAGGGATGGACGTGAGAGGAAAAGAACACAAAATCATCAGAAATCCAACTTCATGAGTCCTGCAGCTTATGGAATAACTATTATTATTATTATTATTATTAGTCTCCTAAGGACTGGAAATCCATTTCACTGTGACAGCCTTTTGTATGACAAATGCAATTAAAAGGAAGGAAGGAAGGAAGGAAGGAAGGAAGGAAGGAAGGAAGGAAGGAAGGAAGGAAGGAAGGAAGGAAGGAAGGAAGGAAGGAAGGAAGGAAGGAAGGAAGGAAGGAAGGAAGGAAGGAAGGATGGTGACAGAGATTACATCCCCTGAAGCTGCGGATATTTCACACGGTATTTCTTCCTCCCATCTCATTATCTGTGTGGCTTATTGTCCCAGTGCTGTGTCTCCCAGAGAGAGTTAAAAAAAGTGATAAACAAATAGATCTCAATTTAGCAGCAGATCCTTCTGGGAGACTATTTGTAAAGCTGGAATTTTTCTGTCTTCCAAATTTCCTGGTTATTTTGTATCTGAATGTTTTTCAGATATGAAAGTCTTTTCATATCAGCTTGACAGGAAGCAGGCATACCACAGTACTGTAAAGCACCTAGAGTTTAAAATGAGAGATGAACAACCTGGCTTAGCAGGGGATACAGGAAGAATTGGTTCAGCCCTCAAGCCAAATCTCAAACCAACCCCAAACTAATTTGTGTCTGGCTGAATGTTGTCTTCGAATCTTATTTGTTCCAGGGTTCCCTGGAGAAAGAAGATAGCAGCGAATTCTGAGCTGCTTCTAATATAGGGAAGCCCCATAACTCATGAAATTTGAAAAGAGCATCTGGTAAAAGCCCAGCAAGGGGTTGAAAAGGATGCATAAAAGACAGAAATAGGGCCCAAGTTCCTTAGAAGTTGTTTATCCTGCCTGCTAAAATGTCTCTTTGGCTGTTTCTCTGAGTCATGCCATGATAATAACAACACTGCACTATAACAAGAGTGGTTGGTGAGAGAAGAGAAAAAATAAGGTAGTTCCCTTTGCTCTGAGGCACCCTAGGTGAGTAATACATACGAGTCTTCACATTCAATTCCAGCTATCTTCAATGAAAGAATTGTTTATTTGCCACAGGGTAGAAAAACAAAGGTAAACCAAAGAAGAAATAATCAGAAAATAAAAGTTAAGCAGACTGTAAGCACAATAGACCAGATTACTTCAGGGATACATTTGACCCAGCTAAATATATTATCAAAAAAAAAAAGTGTTCAAGCTGAGCATGAAAGCTGACATCTTAAAACTTGTTTAGTGTCTAAATAGGCACCTAAATCTAGATTGTGAGTGCTTAGAAGTAAGAAAAAAGAAAAAAAAAAGAAAAATAAAATGTTTCCTGAAGTGGTCACATTCTTGCAGTTCTTACAAATGTGAGCAGTAGCACTTTCCAAATTCAGGCACTTCACTTTAGACAAACACAGAACTGTAGAGAAACCTGGGGGCATGATCCCACACTGGCACTTCTCTTTCCTGTCTTCTTGCCCATGGAAATGTTATGAAAATACAGTAAAAGACAGAAGCAAGCAGCTTTATATCTGCATTAAAGCTCTTTTTTTTTTTTTTTTTTTTTTTTTTTTTTTTTACAGGAAATGGGTATTTATAAGCACTTAACTCATGTTCTCACTGTGTTTTTTGATAGCTTGCAATATTTTTGCTGTTAAATTGTAAACCGCCTTCTAGCTCCTAACATACAGCTTGTCTAAACATCCTAGCTTCTCACTAGGAGCATGGGAATGTGCCACAGACAAGCAAGGACTGTGAAATAGAAGATGTCCTCTCATTTTCTCTTGGGATATATCCATTGTTTTCATATCTGGAGAAAAAACTCCCAGGTCAACACCTTTTGTAGGAGGGATTCATTCAAATCCAACAAATTATACAGTATTCATATTCCTAGTAGTTTTCAGTGGGAAATCAGGTAGGTAAATAAGAGGAATACATTTCTGACCCTAGAGAACATGCTCAGTAATGCAATACATCTCTTCCACTCAATCAGATGAAAGTTGGCTTTGATTTAGCATCAACAAAAACTTTTCTACTGTAAAATTGTGTTAACAGAAACTGTGGGAGCTGCATGATCTGACCTGTGTGTTTCAGACACTGAAAAACCTATTTTTCTCTCATTATATCATGTTAGGCTTTGGTTTACTCTCTCCTTGTATTGTTTACAACAGTGATGATTTGCATTTAATCATATAATTCTGGTCCAGTTCCATGGTATAAATTGGTCCTCCAGGTGTTCACATAAAAACCCATTAGTGTGTTTTCTCTCAACACATCTTGGGATAGAATATCCCATTACTATGAAAATGGAAATAACCATATTCCCAGACAGGTTAAGTGTTGCATGGCATAGCTGCCATACTACTAAATATTAACACTCAAATTTTCTTACACAATATAATTTCTATGGGATATGCAGGACAGCAACTGTCACACATGATATGTGCTGGTTATTTTTTAAGTTTTAGCAAAAATCAATCTAGCTGCATGAGTTGTGTGAGCAGGAACTCCCTCCCCCACCTCTTCCATATGTTCCAAATGAACTGTTACATTCACATGAGCAAAACCCAGCTGGAAATAGAAACCTGGGCCCAGATCCTCCTTTGGCATAAGCTAGTACAGTTACTCTAAAGCTAAAGGGCACCCACTGATGTAAACAAGTGAGGATACAGCCCTTAAAATTTAATATATTTTATTGTCTTAGGTGCTGAAAGAAAGGCATTCCTGCTTTACAAAACATAGGCCCACTGTTTTAAAGGATACAAATGAAGGTATCCTCTTTAGGTAGTGCAGTGTTATGCAGCTTCTGAAAAAACTCCTGGTGAAAAATTTAAGAAAATTTAAGACATTATTTTTTTTAAGATCTTTATAGTTTTCTCTATGTCATTAAGCTAGCTCAAGCTAGAATATTAGTTGTAGAAAATTAGGAATCTCAGTTGTCTTTGTCAAAGCCTGGCTGAGTTGAGCACACTGTGCTGCAGCAATAAAGAATACCAGACAGATGTCTGAAGACTGGGGACAACCAGAACAGAATTACCAAATGCAAACTGTGCTCGAACAGTCCAATTGTTTGGTGAAATCTCTGGCTCTGTGACTAAGTGGAGAGCAGTGGAAGTTTGCCTCATATTTAGTGAAGTTTCTGATATATTCTTGTAGAGTGGCAGTAGGTAATGACTTGAAATTTAACTTGCAGAGCTGTGTGTTGTTCCTAGGGGGCTGATGCTGTTGCCGATCCTCTTCAACATCTTCATCAACAAGCTTGGTGATGGGATGGCATGAAAAAGCCCCTTCCTCTGCAGGTTTGAGGGTAATACCAGTTTGGGGTATATGGCCTGGTGTGTTGGAGGGCAGGACTGCCAAAGAAGGACCTCAGCAAGCTGGAAGAAAGGGCAGAGAGGAACATTATGAAGTTCCAACATGAAGCAAAAACAAATATGAATTCCCATGCCTGAGATAGGATAACCCCATGCATGGACACTGGCTGGGGTCAACTGAGGAAGCAGCAGTACTACAGAAAAAGACCCTGACATCCTGGTGGTCAGTTAAATAAACCAGAGGTGTGTCTTTGTGGGGATGAAAGCTAGCCCCTTCTTGGGCTGTATTAGCAAGAAAATATCCAGCAAGTTAAACGAAGTGATTTTCACCTGTGCTCAGTACTCACAAGCTGCACTTGAATTTCTGTGTCTGGTCAAGGGGTACCTAAAAGGAGTTGTCAACAAACTGAAAGAAATCCACAGGAGAGCTGATATGACACTGAGGAGAGTGGAGGATGTGACATATGAAGAAAGTCAAAGGGATTTTTGTATGTGAATGTCTAATTGCAGTCTTCTACTACCTAAAGAAGGGTTACAGAGAGCACAGAGCTCAAATCCTGTCTGATGTACACAGAAAAAGATGAGAGACAGCACTGACAAATTGCAGAAAGGGAAATTCTTACCAGGCTCTTGCACGAAGGGTGCTGAGACAGGTTCAAATTCACAAAGACATATTAACAAGGTCCATCCATAGTGTCCATGGTGTACATCAGTCCTTGTGATGAAAATTACTTTTTGGGGAAAATATAAGAAAAGGGCAACAAAAGAAACAGATTGAAGGAAGTTACAAGGGAAACTGATCACAGGCCAGCTAGGAAGGGAAGTGATGAGTGTCTCCAGATGAACATTTCTCCCTATCCTACACAGCAGGGTTTCCCCACAGTAATTTTCCCACGGCCTCTGTAGTTTTCACCAGATCTTGCACAAACTCCTTGCTGGTTTTTCCCACTGATGAGGCTGTTAGCACTGGCTGGAGCATGTTTTGATGAGAGGTGGGTGCTGCATACTGCTTGGTAGTGGGGCTTTCTGCATGCACATTGTAGGTCCCCTAATGTAATCCAAAAGCTTCAACTGGAGAAGAAAGGGGAGAAATAAGGAGTGATTATCACACCAGTAGCAGTCATTTCCCATGACAGACCACCACAACAGTGCCATCGGGGTTTGGGGTTGCATGAGAGAAACAGCATGAAAAAGCAGCGTGAGAGAAACAAGGGGAAGATATAGCGGAAGAGGCTCTGGAAAACTGCCCTGGCATATTGGGTGTGGAGCTGTGTGTGAAAAGACTGCCTATAACACTGCAGGCTGAATACCAAAGGTCTAAGCCATCTAAGACAGCATACAAAGAGGCTTAGGGGAAGAATCCTTCACTGGTTTGGAACTGGAACAGGAGCACAGAGAGTATTTGAAAACCCTCCTCAGAGATACCCAGAGCGTGACTGAGCAAGATCCTGAACAACCTGACTGAACCTTGAAAGCAGGCTTCCAGCTTACATTTTCCTCTGATTCTCTGTAAATCATGTTGGATACCATCAGCACTGTAAATATATTTCAAGTGTGATGTCTGAAAGACATAAAATCTTGTCTAGAAATTCCTACCAGGGAAGAAGATAGAGCTCATGCTCACAGTAGACATATTTTGATCTGCATAGGAAGATGATTAAAAAAAGATGATTTTAATTGCAGAGTGATTTCTGCCCTTGACATAATTTTTAAATATGGACTTCATCTTTTTTACTCTCTTTGGATTGTGACTTATGAAAAATGTAAAAGATGATTCAAACATAAGTACCAAACACACTGAAGGCTTTGCGGCTATATTTGATTCTATAGTGATTTCAAGGAAAGCTATAATAATGAAGCTTTCTTAATGTCACGAAATCTCCTTAATAGGACTGTTCATAAAAATAAGTGTTTGCTATTTGAGCTGAATCCCTTCCTAACATTAAAAAGTCATCTGCATGTATCAGTACTTCTATTTTCTTCCCTTGACTTTCCTATAGATACTCTTGGAGACATCAGCCTTGCCTAGGTTTATAAAAAGGAACACAAACAGGTGAATGAATTTATGTATACTGTGCATCTTCAGGGATTTATATAAATGAAATCTGAATTCTTTCTATTTGCTATAAATCAGAGTTCAGATAAATGAGGCCTTGTCCATATTGTGGTTGAATTCAGTCAATCTGTGTTAGGATCAAATTTGAAAACAGCTTCTAGCATAGCGACCAGCTACTGTGCAACCTAGCCAGCTATGTTAAAAAACAGTTTCATTAGAGTTACAGTTCCTAACCAGCATTTGAGAACGGCAGGGATTATTTTTATATGCCCTGGGAGGGAAAGCGAAAGGGTTATGGGATTCATGTCATTGTTGTATCAGTGAGTGAACTGAAAGACTTTAGTGAACTGGAAAGTCACAATGGTTTTACAGTTTTAGTCTATATTAGATGTTGGAGAATTTCCTATGCAGTGCTAGGTCCAGCTGTTGAGAAAAATAAATTCATATTTTGCCTATTTATAGAAAAAAATCATCTTGGCAGTGCAGCCTTAAAGAAAAAAATGTCTTTTTATTATTTATTTATTTATTTATTTATTTATTTATTTTTGGTTGCTTTAGCTGATTGTTTCCATGGAACAGTTAAATGACTGATGGGGGTACAGACCACTGCAAAAGTTATCAGAACCATGCTGTTTTATGGTAAAGGAAATTATTCTGTAAAATTATTTATTTACAAGACAAAGGGTGGCAGTGGGAGTTCCTACAAATAAACACAAGAAGTCCAGTCCAAACCATGGGATATCATGATTATGTTTTTCCCATGTTTAGAAGTTAGCCCTGGGGACATTTATTCTGATGGACACACAGCTGTGTACCTTTACCAGGGAGAATGGATGTGAAAATCTTTTAAAGTACTGTTGGAGACATATAGGCTGATCCTTGGGTCTAGATATACAATGGCTAGCCCCATCTACTTCTGTGATCACTGTGAAGTCTTTTTGTTTCTTGCCTTTTTTTTTTTTCTTTGTGAATTTGTTTTACTTATTCAATTTATTCAACCAATAAAGCTTCATAGGAAGGAAAGCTAAAACAAGAACCTGTGTATATCTAACACAGGGTTCAGAGATAAGAATGGGGTAGTAAAAATATCTAGGCTGTTTTCTTTTACTATTCTGTCTTCTGGTCTGCTGCAAATTACACTAGAATAAATGGGACTATTTCACTGGAAGAAATTCACAAAACGCAACCCTTAGACAACCTGCAGTATTTCTGGACACACTGGAAGGGTGCCATGGTGTCTGCTGCCTCTACTCCACACTGCTTGGGAATCTGGAAGCATATCAATTTTCCTGAACATCAGGGAGACCCACTGCTAGAGAAAGTTTCCAGCAGACCATTGAGCAAGGATCCATAGCTGTGAGATAAACATGTCATACAGCGTGAAGTGGGACTCCTCAAGTTTAATGAAACCTGCAAATAAATACAAAATGCTATGGGTGATATGATCGAGTTTCATATAAACCAAACGACATTATGGAAAAAAAATCAGAAGGGGAACTATGTTTGCAGCATTTTATCTTTGCACACCATTTTCTTCCTTACTACCTTGGCTTACATTCAGAAGTGGTAAAGGCACATAAGACACCATAGAAATCTAGACTGAAGCTCACCAGAGGAGGTATGTGTACCTCAGGTACTGGCAGTGGGAAGCATGATGGGGCTGGTCACCGCCTTCTGGTGTGCTCTGAGGGATGTTCTGCAGCCAACCTCAAGATCAGATTGCCTGTCTATCTGAACAGCAAATCTTCAAGTGTGGTCTCATGCACAAGATAAGGTTTCCTTTCAAATTTTACAGAATTCTGCCTGAGCATGCCAGTTGGACAAATGAGCTGCCTAGTGGCTTAACACACACACCACCAGGCACACCATCCAGCAGGTCTGCTAGGCCACCACAAGCTACATCACACATAATGGAAGAGAAGGTTGGAGAAAATCTGAAAAGATAGCTAGTTCTACCCCTTCTCCTTGATCTAAAGTTGAATTAACCATCCTTGTCCTGAATACAAGGAGTCTGTCCTAATGATCCAATTTTTATTGTCAAATATTGCAAAACTGGGTGTGCTATAGTTACCACTGAGTGATTTCTTGCTTGCTGCTGCTGCAAATTTGATGAAAGAACTGAAAATGCAGGAACTGCCTGACACACAGAGACATGTTTTCCCCCAGTTTCTTCTTCATTCCAGAGATCAAGAGAGGACTAGTTAATGTATTCTATTGTTAATTTGCCTTTGTAAGATATTGCTCCCTGAGCCTTGAGATAGAAGGGTATATCTTCTGCTAATCCAACCCTCCAGAGGCATTTTAGCAACTAATCTGGTTGAATCAAATCATTCCTGCTGCATATGATTAATTTTGGGCCAATTTTAATTTTTATTAGTCATGGGTTTCAGTCACCTACACTTGCATGACTATAATTGCCCTTGAGCACATGGAATTTCTTTGTAAATTTGATTTGAAAATACATTGGGTAGCCCCGCCTCTGTTTCACCTATTTATGTACTGCTAATCTTATTGTGCCTAGATTTGCACACTTTGAATATAGGTTGGTAAAATAAAATCTTCATGGCCAAAAACTGTAAGTCAATTTGCTTCCCTAATTGTAGGATTTCTCAAGTGAATTTAGTGCTTTAAGAATGTGGTGCCTATGGCACCCATGAAAGGATTAGTTTATGAAGGCCAGCTCTTAGAAACAGCCCAACAATAGTGCCTTATCCTCAGGATCACTTATCAGTCAATGGGAGTTTGTTCTCAGGAGGGCCAGAGCCAATGGGTAAACTCCTGTTTACGCTAGCCGAGGAGCTCTGTCTCAATGTTTGGATAAATTATCACTTTGTATCCTGTTGGAGGTAGAGTAGCACTGGGAGCCTAGAGGAGTCTTCAGATTTTGCTCATGTAGATTTGGGTCAGCTCGCTCCTGCCTGTGCAAGGGAAAAAATCTATTTTCATGCGGACAAGTATTGCCTTCTGCTTCACCTTTTCCATCCATAATTCCTCTCTGGTTACACCCATAAAGCAGAAGGGTTCCGAGGAAGTGCACGTGTCTTAGGAGACCTGGAAAGACTGGTACTTCACAATGAGGAGGGCAGTAATGGCTCTAATGGGTGCCAGCATGGATAATGATTTTTCTGCTATGGACTGTGGAGAGAAAGTGCCAACTCACTTGATAGATGCAATGGTACCATTTTTGGCCAGCGCCAGCTAGTCCTGGTTTGTAGCTAACAACTTGGAAGACTCCCAGTACCATTACACCACCCTGCAGGCACCCAGCTGGCTTTTTGAGGGCTGGACATCTGCATGTGGCTATGGACATCAGGTCCTGGATTGCTGTGTTGATGGACGTGGCAGGAAGGACTGCTTCATGTTTAATGGGGATAGTGTAAGAACAAATGAAGAGAAAGCCACACTATCTCTTCTAATAACATTCTCTCTTTACTAAAATCCCATAGAGATGTAGCAGACATCCGTGGTATTAATATTATGCGACTTAGCTGATACTAAGAAGCATTTGGGAAAACTTTGACTGACTGGCTCATGCAGTTGCTAATGAGGATATCTCACTTACAGGGATATGGCAGAGAAAAGAGGTTTATTTCTCAGTACGCTATTGCCCCATCTGAGAGATGAGAGAAACATTCATGCAAATAGGAGATGTGAGGGCTATAAACCTCTGGCCTGCCCCAGCCCTGATGACACAAGGCAG